TCGAAGCTCTCGACGATCTTGACTCTATCGTTGGTGGCGAAGCCCAACTTGTGCTTGACTTTATCACTGACCTTGTTGGCTCTTATACTCTGCTAGAGCTGGCACCGATGATTGGTATGGGCTGGTGGCCTTGGATCAAGTACGAGTCAAAAATGCGTCAACAGGGCCAATTGACAGAGGCGGAGAGTAAGAGATTGCGGACGGTTCTTTGGACCTCTCTACAACCACAATATTCTTTTGACATCGACGAGCATGATGCTCCTCACTCTCCCCGCTCAGGGATAATCGATTTGAGCCTTGCAAGGAAGTTTCTAGACAGATTCTGCTGTCATTCTGACGACCCGACGTACCAAGGGCAAGGCGGCTGCCCAATCTGGCATGAGTTCATCTCCAGCTTCGCCAAAGATGTGGTTGAACACTGTGATGTGGGGCCTTCATTGGGTGAGCTCGATTCGGATCTCCTCGCCATTGAACCCAGATATGAGATTTGCAAGTACTTTGCATCCACGCATGTGGGGATCGGTTTCGAGTTCTCAGGGGCGAACGATCGGGAGAAGCTACTAAAGTCGAAAGGAAATTGGGAAGCCATCCCAGATGAGTTGCGACAGTACACCAAATATTTCGGTTCGTTTCCTCTTCGTGTAGCCTGGATCGCGGCTGTTAGGGGATTGCCAGATCTCGCCCTCGTACTCAGAGCTGCGTTCGGTGAGGATAGAGCCCTCGGGCTGCTCCGCATCAGACGAGATGTTCAGGAGTCTCAGTTGAGACAGCAAGTGTCATCCGTGACGCTCGCAGGACGTCTTCGTGGCTTGTGGACCGCTTTGGTGACTGGAGCCTGGTAGTATAGGCCGATTCAAGAATTCATCAAACCGCCGTGGATGGCAGACGGCAAATCCGAGAAGTAATACAAGCTTCAAGAGACGGCTGTTTTCGACCTGCTTGAGGTTGATTCATAGTCCATAGTTCCAGGATTACCCAGGCGGGTGTTTTGGATGAGGAGATCGCTATGTAGTACCTATATCGATGCGACAGGCTAGGGTGCTTTACTCTATCTGCGATATCAGTCAGTCAGGTGCTCTTCTTTAACTCAACTACCGATGATTAAGGATCATCTCAGACTCATCAAACGTCTTGTCGGGGGTTTGCACCTACGGCGCCTAGGTCTGAGGCGCATAGAACTCCCAACTGCCTGACGTAGATATCAACCTGATAAGCCCCTTATAACCACTATAATTCCACCCCGCAATGCCCTCGGTATACCTCTTATTGTACTCGGCGACGTGCCATCTAATTCTCATCCCTAACAGCTGGCATCGGGCTATCACAATGTCAAACATATGGACCTCCCCGCAGTAATCTCCAACCGCCAGCCGAGTCGCATTGTTGTTGAACGCTGCTGATGTGATAGAATTGCCTGTCCAAGCATACTTGCCCCTGAACTTACCCGTAGCTACATCGCTGACGTCGAACCCTTCCTCAGTCCGGCAAGCCAAGAAACGGCAATCTGGCGAGACACAGAGCGGCCACCCCTCGCTCTGCCGCACTACGTTCAGGTTGTAGTTCTGCACCCGCCCAGAGTTCAGACACCACAGCACCACCTTCCTTCCCCACACCGTTACTACCAGCTTCCCATCCAGCGACACCTTCAGTATACTCGGGGGCGATCTCGCCTCAATCTCAATCTTTTTCAGCGTCTTCCCTGACGCGATATTCGTTACCCTGACATACCCATCCTTCCCCGCGCTTACCAGCGCCTTCCCATCTCCCTCCCAATGTGGCAGGAAAGCCAGTTGCGTTACCTCCTCCGTATGGCCCATCAGCAGCCTCTCTACTGTAGCCTCTACCCCCTTGTGCCCGCGCTGCATCCTCACCACGAGAATCCGGCTCGGCTCATTCCCAATCCGACACGCCTACCAGCATCGTGCCATCGGGACTCCACGCCACGGGGGCCCGGATTTTGATGTCGTCTTGCTTGAGCAGCCGCTGGCTCTTCACAGCATCGCAAAAGTCCCACACCTCCAAGCCCGAATACTACCAGGGGTCAGCAAGCTTGCTTACCGGTACGGGCACGCAACGATGGCACCCGGCCCGGCCATGGGCATGAGGGCAAACCCACCCGCCTTACCCCCAACCGCCGCGTTGTTTCGAGGCATCGCCGTACCCTTGTCGGCTGACCACAGGGCCAACGCAAGCTTCGCATCACCCTTTCCTACGGCCGCGAGAAGGTGCGAGCCGGACGGCGTGAAGCAGAGGTGCCTAATTTCGTTGGCGGAGTAGGGCGAGCGCATGGTGAAAGTGTCGACGAAGGTGAGCGTGGTTTTGGTGTCAGGCGTGGCGGTTGGCTCTTCTTCTTCGGGAGGGTCGTCCCATCGCCGGTTGCTGGACTGTTCAGCCATGTTGTCCGCTGCCGGGTTCGTGATGTTGAGGCTGTCCTCCAGGTCGGTTGTGAACTTGAACAGTCGTGATCGGAACAAGCCGCAACGCGAGAAGCCCTAGGCAAGCCAGAGGGTGTAGGCGACGAGGCAGGAAGCGCAAGAACTGCAACCAGATGTTATACAGGGTTCAGTCACTAGAGGGAGGGGAAGACAGGGGACATCGGCATACCACCGCCTAGGTTGGCAAAATGAGGAGATAAAGACAGGTTGGTGATGAAGAGCGCATTGCAAGGGTGTGGAAAAAGTCGAGAGTACAAGGACGTTGAAGAAGAAGAGGCTCCTATTTATGCTAAGCTGCGATAGAGACCGTGCGAGTAGGCAATTCACACACGCATTAATACCCAATTAGGAGGGGCGCCATTCCTGGCGGGGCCAACAGCGTGTTCGCCATACAGATTAAGTATTCTTGGAATTGCTGGAGCTCCACTCCGCTACCAAACCCCCTCCCCCACACCCCGAGCGACATCCTTGGCAGCTGCCATTCCTGTCGACACGCGTTGCCCTCTTGACACTTGCCCGTTTTCCACGCTGTATTTGATTTGTCGCTTTGCGCTGCAGGCAAAGAGACATGCAGCATGCCCACCCACCCGTCCGCTCGAGAACGCCGAGTGGGCAACGAGCAGGGCCGCAGCAAACGGCAAATATGCAAGTCTAGCCTCGACTTCGAATCCGCGAGCAGCCCCTGGTCGTCGAATGCGGGTGTTCTGCCTCCTGATTAGACAGAGCGTACTCCGAACCAGCCAGCCCTCGAACCGCCAGACCCACGTCGTCCGTCGTCACCGACTCCAATTCTTGCTGCCCTAAGACCCAAGAGAACGGAGAAGTAGCCGTCTAGACCTTGATACTTCGATTCCCTCCTCCGGTCCTTCAATTCACAATGCTGCCCGCCAGCTTACGGCGGCTCCTCGTCGGCCTCTGCTTTGTCACATGCGTCGGCGCAGATGCCGGAGATGATTTCTCCAACAACTTGTTCTCCGACCTGGCCCCGTACGCGCTGCAGTCTGTCCATTGCAATCTGTGCGGAGATATGCTGACCTTGAGCCGCGCGGCATCTAGCCTACTGGCCTTGTTTGGAGAGAGGGTCACCACGCAGTTCATGAGCCAGTCTATGGGTTGGGCCGACAACATTGTCCTGGCCATGGCCCCGCTGGGCGTAATCACCGCTATCGTCGGTGCCATCCGAGTCGGCGGCCCGTCGTGGCTCAAGGCCATCATCGGAAGGGCAAGGGAGAGCCGTGCCGTCGTTGAGGCCGAGCTGATGTCCTCTACCTCGAATGAAGTGTGTGAGCTCTGGAACGGCCAGCAAATCGTCAGGGTAATGGGAGAAGGGCCGATTCGGGAATTCATCATCCTGATGCCCAAGGAGGGTGAGAACGGGAACCAAACGAGGACGGCAATGACTCTAGAGGAGATGCCGATAAAGAATCTAAACGATGCCGTTCTCTCCAAGCCAGGGATTGCCACGGATCCCAATAGCTTCGACAAATGGTACTATTTGACAAAATACAGTGAGTACCCTGACCTACATTTACTCCCTCTCTCTTACTTTCTCGCCAGAGCCCGGAATTTTAGAACGTATATTCGGCAGCTACTACCAAAAAAGTCAAGGTTCTTCCCAAACTAAGAAACGTCCCACTGGAGTGATAGTCCGGGAAGTTCATCAATTGACCCCCTCCCCCCGATCAGACTCTGCCGGCCGAGGCAGCCTGCTCGGCAAGCGTGTTCCTAATGACCAAGAGGACCCAGAAAAAGCCCTGCCAAATGCCAAGGCGCAGAAAGTTCGTAGCAGTTCGAACTCCAAGAAGCCCGACAAAGATTTCGATCCAGAGCTATATAAACGTCCAGTCGCCGTCATTCGAAATACGGACGCCGACACACCCAACCTCACCCTCAACGTTCACAACCAAGTGGGCAGAGGGGAGCTTTACGTGGTTTCCATATGCGGCATTGTCCTTCAACTTGGTGTCCTCGTCTACTCAGGACTTACCGCCTACCATCCCAACTCTATGCTGCTCAAGGATGGAAACGCCGTCGCAGGCTACGCCTTTCCGTGTACCGCAACCGGCACGCTGCTCTTGGTAGCCGGCATATTTATCTGTGCCCACGTCGTCGAAAGTAGTACGTCGGAAACGAGATATCGCCCTTGGGACGGGATGGAAGCTCGAGTTGTCTGGCTGCAGAAACATGGAACCGTGAACGACCAGGCTTTCCTGTCCTTTGCAATATTCCCAGAGACGGCGCAACCCCTGGTTACAACTTCACACCGGGCTAGCGAGAGAACAATACTGGGGTTCTGCAAACATTTCATAATGCCCGCCCTGGTAGTCAACGTACGAGAAGCCATCACTGTCGCTGGTACAATGGTCAGCATTTGCGGCTTCGTCGTGCAGTTCATCGGTTTACGCGGCATGCATTGGTCAGCGTCCGTTGCCCAGCTTGGCGCAACTATCGTCATGACCAGTCTCAGAGCAGCGGTTCGTCGCAATCTCGCAAAAAATCCAAAGGCACTACCTCTCGTTCGTGACCATGAACTGGATTGGTTGGCGATGACCCTTGGGAAGCCCGCAAACGCCCCTTGGCAGTGTCCTGTTGGAGATTACGGGAAGTGGAGCGAATATTGCAGACCTTGGGCCGAATCCCGGACTGACCGAGAGCATAGCCCTTCGGTCGACGGTGATAGTTGGGACTGGATTATTGCCGCCGTCGAAACCCCAGAGAGACGGGAGAAGCTGAAACCGCTTCGGCAGAGTCCCGGCGCGGATTCGACGCGCCACCCAGGTGGGCTCGACAGACCATCAAAGGCCCAGGAAGTGATGACGATAAGGAGGGATCTTGGCGAGTTGGCCGGCTGGCCCGGGCCAGCATCCGCAGAGGCCATCGCTTTAGCTCGCGCGATCGAGGTGGCAATGGATGTCCTGATTGGTCCTAGCTCTGCGGACAAGAAGCTCTCCTGGTCTCTTTCGGCTTTCAAGTCTCCGGACGTGGCTGGGTTTGAGTCAATCGCCTTTCGGGTAGAGGCACAGGCAAATGGACGCTGGAAAATCTTTTCCGACGAGCTTGAAGCTGTGCTTTCGTTGTGGCTTTATTTCGTCCACAAACAGGAAAACAGCGTTGAAAGCAAGGAAGAAGAGCAGAATGAGATTGCCAAGGATGACGCGTGGTTGCGGACCAAGGGAACGCTAGCAAAACCTAGCCTCCGACTTCTAGGCTCACATACGGCGGCTCTGTATAGAGATCTTCGGTGGTGGATGCCTGATGGTGCTGCCAGAGTCATCGAAGTTAACGAACCGGAAACTAACGACGGGATAATGGAGGTCGAGAGCCATCGAGTTGTCGGATTTGCGTCCAATGCCAGGGCTAACCCTTCGGATGTTGACATCTACCAGTACAAGCGGAAGTCCCCAGAATCCCCGCGTAGGGACGCCCCCCTGGCCGTCGAATCATACAGTTCTTTGAAGACATTGTACAGCCAACACATGTTCACCGCTTTCATATGGTCCGCGGCAAAGACGATGGGGAAGCCGATGAAAGACGGGGCAGATGTACGACCCACTGAGAAAGACGGTGTGAGTGGCGATTCGGCGTGGAAGTCGTTTACATTGCACAATGCCCAGCTTTCCAAAATGGTCCAAGACATCCAAAACACCGGGCTTGGAAGTCTGGAAGATGTCTACCTATGCGTCATTCCACCACTGAGCATGGAGAACAGACTACCACGAGCCGATGCCATCATCGAATGGGCGCGTGCAAAGGCGAAGCCACACGAGCTGCTGGGGCGCTGGAAGGAGGCTGGGGATGCATACCTGTGGCTTTTCCGAAACGCGAAGACGTTCCCAGGGCAAGACGACATTACCACCAAGGCCACTGCCCTCTTAATGGAATATCTGAGGGCTGTCACCAATGCGATCGGGCTAAGGAAAGCCCAACTGTTTGAGGAGAATGACATCCAGGACCTAGAGGAGTTGAAGACCGACATTTTGAAGGAGCTGCAAGGGGGCAGTGTAAAAGATGTGTTAAGGGGCATTATGGGGTTGTACGACATGCAGGGCCGTTCTTGGGAATGTGAGTTGGTTGAAGACTCCAATCCTCCAAAAGGCAAAGACACGGTCCTCAAGTTCACAGAACTTCACATGGCGGCGGCTCAACACGACAGATGGTGGGAAATTGAAGGAGCGATCAAGGAAAGCAATGGTAAGGTGAACGAGAAAGATATCCTGGACTGGACACCACTCCACTACGCAGTCAGAAAGTCAACCTTCCGGGTTGTGCAAAAACTTCTAACCAACAGAGTTGAGGTCAACGCACAAGACATCCGTGGGCAAACACCATTACATTATGCTGCTTGCCGGCAAGACGGCGCTTCGATCATACACGATCTCCTACGGAAAGGCGCGGAGATCAACATACGAGATGTCGATGGAATAGCGCCATTACACAATGCAGCGATCCATGGTAGCAGCGAGGCAATGCGATCACTGATTGAAGCAGGGGCGGACATAGACGCCGTGGATGGTCTAGGATACACTCCGCTGCATTGGGCTGCATTCCGTCAACGAGGAGGCATAGACAAGCATTTGGAATATGTGAACATAAACTTGCGCGACCACAATGGCAGAACTGCCCTGCATTTGGCGGTGATAGCAGAGGAAAATACTGCTACGGAGGGTGAAACTATTGCGACAGAGGATGTCGTCAAGGCACTCATCGGAAAGAAGAGTGATAAAGACGTGAAAGACAGGTATAGTCGGACGCCGTTGCACTATGCCGCTACCAAAGGGCATGAAGTCTCGGTCAGGTACCTCATCGAGCAGGCGAACGCGGACAAGGAGGCCAAGGACAACAATGGCG